GAGCGAGCGAGCAGGGGAGGGGCAGAGAGGGAGACACGGAATCCAAAGCAAGCTCCAGGCTCCAGCCGTCAATACATGGCCTGACGCAGGGCTGGAATTCACGAACTGCGATAACATAACCTGAGCCTAAGTTGGTTGCTTAACCTACTGAGCCACCAGGTGCCCTTATTTGTTTTTTGTTTTTTTTTTTTAAGTAATCTGTGCCCAATTTGGGGCTCAAACCCACAACCCCAAGATGAAGAGTCCTATGCTCTACTGAGTCCACCAGGTGACTCAAGAAAAACTTGTTTTTAAATCATTAAAATACTATAATAGAATACAAGAGGAGAACACTTTAGTTTTAATATAAACAGATCATTGAAAACTCTTAAGATGAAGAGTGTGAGCATAATAGGGTTTTTTCCCATTATCTCTTGTGTTAAAAAACAAAACTGTGTAAAACTTAGTGGGTTAATACAAGCACTTATTTATGAATCTGCAGTTTGAGCTGGGTTCAGCTGGGTGATTTTATTGGTCTGTTAGGCTATTATTAAACAGCCCAGGGGCGCCTGGGTGGCGCAGTCGGTTAAGCGTCCGACTTCAGCCAGGTCACGATCTCGCGGTCCGTGAGTTCGAGCCCCGCGTCAGGCTCTGGGCTGATGGCTCAGAGCCTGGAGCCTGTTTCCGATTCTGTGTCTCCCTCTCTCTCTGCCCCTCCCCCGTTCATGCTCTGTCTCTCTCTGTCCCAAAAATAAATAAAAAAAAAAAAAAAAAAAAAAAAAACGTTGAAAAAAATTAACAGCCCATGGATAAAAAAGTCAGAGTGCTATAGTTTTGACAAAGGTCCGGATTTTACTGACTAAATATAATTCACAGATACAAAGATTCAGGAAGCCCAAATCCATCCCAAAGTGGGATTTTTTTTTTCCTGGTGGATTATAATCAGGGCAAATTTTGAAAGAATCCTAGTAACAAGTCAGGATCCATTTACTATCATGTACCATGAGACACGGGTGTCTACCAGAGGACTGCTGTTGTGCTGACTTAACTGGCCAACGGTGATAATGAGAGTATTCATGCAGGAGGCACTAACACTTCCCTGGGCGGGTGTGTAGATACATCACATGATCTGACATTTCTGTAATACAGTGTCACCTCGTGACAGGCTGGCCCCGTAAGAAAAGCAGATGGGTTACCTCTGACAGGATGATCTGACTCATAAAACGGAGGACAAGGAATGACTTTTTTCTCCTGCAAAGTCTGAAAGAGATTTGGGGGGGGGGGGGGGAAGAGTGTCAAATGAAACACACATGAGCCGCTGAAACTCTGTCAAATCCAGCATGTTCCCCAGAAACCACTATGTTTCATGTTCCCAGCCAGGAGACAGCACAGGGAAGAGTAAATGCCTACATCCAGCACCCCAACCTACAGAAATCTCTCAAGAATGCGTGCAGGCGCAGGGGGAGGATGTGCAAGGCAACACCATTTATGGCAGCAAAGCCACCCACGCTGACACAGACAGCCAGCTATAGCGGGACAGGCGAGTAAATTACGGCGTGTCCACAGAACGGACTACTATCCAGCCGTTCCGAAGAATGAAGTGGCTCCACGTATCATGAGTTAGGAAAAGGATTCTGAAAATGATTACACTGAAAACAAAAAAGGCAAAGAGCAAGCCCATAAAATTAAGCCAATCCTATTATCCTTTTACAAGCTAACGCCCTGAAAGAATATATACCAAATTTCAGATAACAACTTTCTGCAGTAACCTAAGTAAACCCTCAACCTCAAACTCAGACATCCACTGCTGTTATCACACCCCATAGAGAAGGGATCTCAAGGAGGAATTCACAGCAACACAGGTCTCAGCACTGCCTACGAACGCCTCCTTGCCATCCACGCTCGACCCAAAATATATGGATTCTTTGCCAATTATACTGCAGAGTATCTGTGAATATTGTCCCAGGAAGACCACAGGGAGGGGGTGACAGAGTGACAGGAGCATCCATTCTCTAGTTTCTATAACTAGAGAAACTGAACCTTTAAGAGGGACTCAGCTAGCTGACAAATAATGCTTTCACTGTTTTGATGGAACGTTCTTATAGAATGTACTGGGAATGTAAAGCCAGGGAACACTGTGTAGCGTTATCATCAGTGTGTACAACAGATAGATAATGCATCTACACGCAGACTATTTGTAAAAGCATCCAGAAAAGTCTGGAGGCTACCGCTAAAGAAAACAAAGTATGCCTCTGGAAAGACTATGGGACAGACAGGAAGAGTTCCCCTCTTTCCTGGTTGCTTGTGTACTGATGAATTTGTCCTAACGAGCATGAATTACATTTTGACAAGGAAACGCCGAGACCCCAAACTACCCACCAAAGGTGGGTAACTTACAAACAGTTCTGAAGTACAACTTACGGGAAGATACTGGACCACGGTTCCATCTTGTTTCCCCACAGCCAGCTGCTTCCCTTTGGGGCTCCAGCACACTGAGCAAAGAAGAAAACACGGTCAATTAAGAACTGAAGAAAATGGAGCAAACCAATGAGATCTGTCCTGAAACAGCCATTTAATCACCACTTTCCATTCCCTGGTCAGCCCCTGGAAGACTCTAGGATCATCTTTATTCAACAAAGTTAAAAAAAAAAAAAAAAACAAAAACAAAACTGGGACCCTTGGGTAGCTCAGTTGGTTAAGGGTCCAACTTCAGCTCAGGTCATGATCTCACGGTTCATTGGTTTGAACCCCGCGTCGGGCTCTGTGCTGACAGCTTAGAGCTGGGAGCCTGGAGCCTGCTTCAGATTCTATGTCTCTCTCTGCCCTTCCCCCGCTCGTCTTCTCTGTCTCTCAAAAATAAACATTAAAAAAATTTTTTTAAAGATCATTCTGATGATACAAGGCAATTATGATTTACCACTGGGCCATTAAGTCGACTGTTCCAAATGTTTTGCCAATGGAGTATTGTCCAGAAAGCTGGAAGGTACAGAAAACTCTGTAGTCTTTAGATAAGGAGAACAGAAAAAGTTTTCAAGTATCGAGAAATCATTCTCTTACTCCTGTTTGACACTGGTAATACTCTGCCCCTGAAGGTACAAAATGGCTTTCAGTGTACCATCCACCACCCTTTAGGATCCAAAAACAATCATTCTCAAAAACAGTTCGAGGGCACCTGAGCGGCTCAGTTTGTTGCGCATCCGACCTCCACTCAGGTCATGATCTCGCGGTTCATGCGTTCGAGCCCCACGTTGGGCTCTGGGCGGACAGGTCATGATCTTGAGGTTCGTGAATTCGAGCCTCACGTTGGGCTCTGTGCGGACAGTTCAGTGCCTGGAGCCTGCTTCAGATTCTGTGTCTCCCTCTCTCTGCCCCTCCCCCGCTTGCGTGCGCGCGCGCGCGCGTGTGTGTGCGTGCGCTCTCTCTCAAAAATAAACATTAAACAAAAAATTAAAAACACAATTCTAAACTAGCTGTACCAAAATATTTCTTTCTCCAGAACGCCTACACACATTCAAGTTAAATCCTGTCTGTTTGGCTTTAAGAACGTGAACTATGGAAATAAAGAATACTCTCCAGTTCCACCAAATAACAACAGACACAACAAAAAACCCCATTTGCTTTTATTTCCAGAAATTAATTTTTAAATAGATTACCATTATTGTATGTTACAGAGCGAAAGCCTTTATTACCCACCAGATGTTACTGCCACCGTGGAAGGGAGAGTCGCACACACTTTCACTGTTTCTGTGATTTGTAGGACAGCAATGCTGCCATCGGCCAGACAAACTGCCATCATGGAGGCAACAGTGGGGTTCCACTTCATATCGATCACCATGCCTCCTGCGTCTTTCAAAAGCTTATGATAGGCAAATGGGCGTTTTTGCTGTTTAGCCTTTTAAAACAGATGCCCAGGAGCAAAAATAAATTGATAAATTAATAAATACATAGACATTTAATAGTCGAAGAAAATTACTGAATATGCAAGTTTCTTCTCAAATTACAGTTTATTTTCCCCCACGACTGTGACAAAAACAAATTAGCTCTACACTACAATCTATTTGTTGCAGACAATTTCAACACAACTTTGAAAATGGCAGTCAATTATCTTAGCACACTGGAAGAACTTCCAGCAGGGGAATACACAAATGCAAAATAATCAGTAAAGGGAAAACACTACATTAAAATCTTGGCTCTGCTTCTTAATGGTGTTGGACCCTTGCACGTTTAAATTCTTTGGGACCATTTCTTCATCTATAAAATGAAGACAACAGCATCTACTTTGTGAGGCCACGGTACTTAGGAACGAGGACAAGGCCTATAAAGCACCTATAAAGCACCTGGGCCTATATAGCACAGGGCCTGGCACATAGTCAGGGTAAATACTCAAATTATTGACAATATCATTCCCAAACTGCTAGAAGTGGAAGAACACTGCCAGAGGAGGCCAGAGACTGGGATATGGGAACTTCTGACATTACTATGAACTCTACAGCCTTGGGGCAGGTCACCTAAAGCTCCCTGGGCGTGGGCTCTCTCATTTGTAAGTGAGAAAAAAAACACCTTGGGGCGGGTATTAGGGAAGAATTTCTTGAAGTCCTTTCTATCTCAAAGGTCTAAGATCCCACAGTTAATGCCTTTTTTTTAAACCCCTACTTTAATCTAGAAAAAAAGACTCCCAGAGTCAACCAAGAATTTCCAGGTTATGACTCAATACCAGACAAACTTTTTAGGTCCCATGCTGATGCTACACTTTGCCAGGAGCTTACCTCATTTGAAAATGTGCGAACATCAAAGAAAGCGATAATGGAACCATATTCACTGGACATCATGCACACGGAGAGTGTGAGGTTATCACAGCTCAGGGCCAAGTGATGTATTGGGAATTTCATAGGAACCAGTAAGCTTTGAACTTTATCAACTAAGAAAAGATTAAAAAAAAAAAAAAAAAAAGACAAAGCAGAAGCAGAAGCTGTAACCCCTTTACCAGGTCTACGGTCTATGTGAAACAATTTTTACATCTACATAAACATACAAGCACACTTTGAAGCCTAGTCATGAAGAACAAGTAGAAAGGCTTCCGGCCTAGAACTTCTTGGGGGTCAACCTGAAGATTCACAGCCACTTTAATTTTAATACTAGAATGATTTCTTGGGAAAGAGACTCCTTCACTACACCCCTCTCTCTCCTAGGCAACAAACAATAAGTAACTTACCTATCTTGTTGGGATCGTCACCAGGTTTATTTTGAATAAGAAGATTTTTGGTAGGAAAAATCTGCAACCCACTGGCTCCACCAGCAAAGACCAGGCCATACTTGTTGGACACGGCTAGCAGACTCGAGCGTTCCTTGGGCAACTCCTCAGGGGAGTCAAAGATTCTCACCTTCTTCAGGGCTCTAAACTGAAAATCCTGTTGTCAAGGATGAAACCAAGATCAATTCAGGGAAAAGATATTCCATGATATTCCAACAGCCCTAATCCTAATACAACCCAGAGGTTTGTGGTGCCCAGCAGAGGACCTAGTAACGTTTATTGAATTAAACATAATTTTAAAAATTCTTTCATGAAGCTTTCCTTAACTAATCCAATTCGCACTGGTATTTTCCTTTGCTGAACTCCTAGTTTACTGTCCTAACCACAGGTGCTGTACTTGATCATTCATAATCTTGTCCTACTTGATGGTAAGTATTGTCTCATGACCCAGAGGAGTCCTCAGTTAACTGCTGTGAAACATCGAAGGCATCACCCAACTACGCCGTTAGCCTGGACTGCCAGTGCGGTGCTTGACAAACATGTACGTGGACATGATGACCACAGAATGACGACCAGCTCCCAGGAGCCGTCTTACCTGCATCAGATACTAAACAAAACACCACGGAAAAGGATGGGTATGGTCAATCTCTTAATAGTCAAGACCTATAAACCTACCTACGTGTTATGAGGACATCCAAACACAAGTCCAAAGCCCTTAACACAGGCTGTAAGGCCAGGCATGGCTTGACCCGTCTGCGTCTGCAGCCTCACCTCACAACGCTCTGCTTTACTCCCACAAGTGCCCCATTGATTGTGCAACATCCTGGGCCACCTCCATCCACCACCGATATCGTTTCCATTTCTGTCCATTTGCACGCTCCTTAGCACTCCAGGGCCTGGGAGCCTGCCCCAACCTCCTGACTGCCTGTCTCACCCAGCCTTCCGCGAACTGATCTACATGCCTTCAAAGACGATTTTCAGTGGGTGTCACCTCTCGGTGAGAATTGCATAGGTTTACCAATCACTATGTTCAGTTGTACCAGATGTGTTGATTTTTTTTCTTGAATTCCAGATTGATCTTACGTCAAGGTTTTGGTAAAAAGGAGGCGAACCCCCTTTTGCTTATGTTCCGAAAGGGCAAGAGCCAAGGACAGCCTTTCTCAGCTTAACATGTTTGTACGTGTATGGTGTTTTGTATGGGAACCCGAACACACTCCACTTACCGATTTCCTTAGCTTTGCTATTTATACATAGCTGCTCAAAGAGTAACTGAAATGCTTTTAATGCCCAATGAGTATGCGACCAGAAAAAAAACAGCTTTCCAGATGAGACCACGCTGGCGTAGAATGAAATTTTCAGTATTTTTCTAATTCTCATCCTGATAATCCTAAATATCCTAGTTGAGTCACGGTCACGTGTGTGTGGAGAGCCAGTGGTACCAAGAGTCACAGGGAAGTTTTCCTTTCTGGTATAATCAGTAACTCAAAGGGAGACGATCATCTTCTAAGACTGTAGTTCTGGAACCTTTTTTTCCCTTCTGCCCCAGCCTAGCTGAGAAATCCGCACACTCTCATCGGGTGGTCCCCGCGCCCTCCGGCCCCCCGTGACATTCTCAAGGGGGAATCACTACTCGACATATGGGATGGATTACTACGCCCTAAACACATTTCAGGGACCTCTTCAATCGCCTAAACGCTTCCTGCACCTTCCTTACAACCGTCATTTGGATCACCTGCCCCTCTCTTTCGTTTCCTGACCTTACGCTTATTTCCAATATCAAAATAGTCCTTCTATTCCATGTCGCTACAGGTTCGTATAACAGGTGGTGAACCCCGGCTCCGCGTTAAGCAAGCCTGGACCACTTCACAAAAGGAGACCAGGGAAAGTGAAGACGAGAGGGTCTTAAAAAATAAAAACAGAAACCACCACCTTAATTTCAGCCCCTCTGTCAAATGTGACTCTGGGTTAAGTTACTTCCCCCGTCTCCATGTGCTCCTCGTTATGAGCAGCTACGCGCGGGGTTGCTGCGCTGATCATTACCACAGTGTCGGGCACACGGAGAACGCTCTTAAGCAGCAATTACTACCACTACTCTGACCGACCACCACGTGAAACTAGGGTAACTCAAGTGGCGCGCACAAGACCAACCAGGGACGGGAAAACGGATTCGGTGGGGTTAATCACGGCAGCCCGCTCCAGGACGCGGGCGAGAGCTCTGAACGCGGTAAAATGTTCAAGCAGGAGGCGGGAAGCGGGACAGCCGGCCCCCGCGCTCCGGCGTTCGGCGGGGCTCCAGGGCGACGCCGGGAATAAGGAAGGGAGGGAGGCCCCGGCCAGTCTCTGACCTTCATCTCCCGCTCGGGGATCATGGCATCCATCTCGTCTCCCATCGCGCCACCCTCCGTTGGCCGAAGCAGCCGCTGCTGCCGCCCGCGGCCTTGCCCACACGGCCCAGGCCGCTCCGGGGCCAACTTCCTTCCTTCACAGCAGGCTGCGCTCCGCAGACTCCGCACTTCCGGCGCGCTTCGGTGACGTCATACGTCCCAGTCGGCCGTGTGGTCGGCGGAGACTGAGGGACCTCCTGAAGTCGCGCGCTCTCCTGGCCACCGCCTCCTATTGGCCGACGCGGGGGCGTGGCCCCAGGGCGGACGCGCCTGCGCCCTGAAGCGCCCAGGTCCCGCCCCCGGCGTCGAGGCTGGAGCGGGCTGGCTGCCTGTTGGTTTCTGTGGTTGCGAGGCGCCTGCTCGCGTTCCCCCTGCTCCTTGTGTCGCTGAGACCTCACATTAACACTGGGGTGTAGGTGGTTACTAACAGTCCCCGAGTGAGAGGAGTTAGGAAACCTGACAGACGTTTCCAGGGGGCAGCTCTTGAGAGAGGCTTTGCAGGGGGGTGTGGAGGAACAGGTTCGAAAAGTGGGTGGGTGGGGCCACGGAGGACTCTTACGTGTCTGAGCAGGAAGGCTGAAATGAGAGGGTAAAGGGCACCAAAGAACAGCTTGGCTCCTTCCAGGGTAATCATTTCCCGAGCAAGAGCGTGGAAACTGCGCAAAACCACTTTACGTGTGTTATTTAACGTCCGAGACATCCTAGTCACCGAGGGGTTTATTGTTGCCATTTAATTGATGAGAAGTTTAGAAAATTCCCCAGTGCCCCTCAGAAAGTGGTGAAGGCAGGATTAGAATTCAGCTTGTCCGGATGTGTCGATTGACGACTATTACAGTCCTACGTAGAGGTGTTTGTTTTGGAATTATAAATGCTCTGGGACAGAAATTCTTAAATCTGGAGCCTAGGGGTTAACGCCGCGGATGGGGATCATTTTCTTCTACTTTACTGTTTGGTTTCAGCAAAAATGTTTATCTGCTTCAAGGCTGCTTTTTTAAAGCAAGGATAACATAACAGAACCTGTCTCGTGGAGCTGTTGTGAGGAGTAAATGAAGTTCAGCATTTAACAGAGCCCCGCACACAGGACACATTCTTTCGAACTGTTACTATATTCGCTGTCTCCTGAATTTGCTGAGCCCAGGAACTGTCCCCAAAATACACAAATCAAGACACTGATAAGGTTGTCTGTTTTATTTCTAGTCCGTGGAGATGATAGCCAGCACCACACACACTTATATGCGTACACACACACACACACACACACACACTTCATCCACCTGAACTTGCCTAGCAAACTCCTTCCTTTTGAGTCACAGGGACAAAGCCATACTTGGCAGTCCCCAAGTTGCTGGTTGCATTAGTTAGATTTGGTCTTTCAGAAAAAAGACAGCTGAAGTTCTAAGAAGCTGAGCCCTTAGCCAGAAAAGTAAGTCCTAGAGCCGATAGCCACGATCTGAAATACATGCACACACCCCCCCCTTTTCCGGGACCACTTTTGAGCCCCTCTCCCTCTAGGAAATGGTGGAGGAACTGGTGGCGTTTCCCAGGATGCTCCCCATCCAACGAGAGAACTTTCTTTCCTGCCCTTTCCAGAAGCTGGGGACACGCCTCCTTGTTCCCCTCCCTTAAAGGAGGCTTTCTACAGTCTTATAAACTGTGGGACCTACTCAAGTAAGCCTGATTGCTTCTGCTCTCCTCTCTTTAGTTAGGAACGGTTACACTGACTATAATGGGTAGTTAAGGAAGGTATTACCTTGCTCAAAGGTCTCAGCCTGTCCCAAAGAGAGGACAGTGGGAAGGGGTGGGGACAGGCAGCTGTTCATCTAATGATCTCCAGAGTGGGGGGTGGGGGGGTGGGAAAGGCAGAGGAGGTGATGGAGTAAGATTTTACATTTGCAGGGAGAACTGTTTTGCTGGGGTTTAAACTTCAACTAGGCTTGTGCATTTGAAGCAGCTCCTTAGGCTGAGGATCAGCCAGTCATGGCCAAATAATCTTGCTCCTGAACTGGTTGAGACTAGTAGATTAACCCAACCGGGCATTTCCCCATCCTCCACCTGCTCCACTCCCCCAAGCTGCTCTAAGGGCAGCTCCCTGGGCCCTTGATTATGGGTCACTAAGGAGCTGCAGGGAGCCCACACTGGCTCCCCGCTCCAACAGCACCCAGACGTTTCCACTTAACGATTGGTGAAGACTTCTCCAAGACTCTTGGCTCAGTCTTGGGCCCAGGATTGCAGTGCAATCACCCCACAGTCCCCTCTTTCTTAACATTCACCTCACTTGTCGTTGCCTGGGTCTGACTTCCCCATAGGACTCTAAATTCTGAGTCTGTCCAGTTCACTTCTGAGTCCTTGGCTCTTGGTCCATAGCAGGTGTTTAATAAATATGTTCAATGGATGAGTGCCTCTAAGTCCTGAGTGGGTGGTATAAGGGACTCCGGAACACATGGGGTCAGGGCTGGGGTCCCTGCTCAGCCAAGATGGGGCTGAGTGTTGACACCTTCCTGTATGAGTTCTGAGAAATGGCTTGGCAGAGAAGCTCTAGGGAAGGCAGAATTGGAGAGCACCCTGGCCCTTACCCAAACCCTGTTGCTGACCTGGAGGCACTGGGAAAGGTGAGTCTTGGCCCAGGGCCTTCCTCAATCGTTGACCTAGGAGATTTCCCCTCCCTGCACCTTCTCTTGTTGGCATCACTGACTGAGACAGCCCAGGGCAGAGACGAGGCATGGGCATGGCATCTGAACACCTGGGTTCCAGTCCGAACTTCCGTCTCCTGATTAACCCCTTGGCAAGGCACTTAATCCCTGTGAACACCACAGTTTTCTCGCCTGTGAAACGAGAGGTCCGGTCCAGCTAACCTACAGAGCATATCAGGGTCCTAAAACACTGGGAGTCCATCACAAGGGACCCCAATCCAATCCCCAAGCTCAAAGTTTTGGGATGGAGGAAGGGGTGAGAGGACAGGCACATGTCGGGACAAAGTGGGGAGGCTTAAAGCTTATAATACGTGGTCAATAAATATCTGTTGAATGACTACATGGGGGAATGAATGAATGAATGAATGATGTAAGGTGGTAAGGCAAATGGGGGGGCACAGTCAGGTTTCAAGCAGATTGGGATCAGAAAGGCAACCTTCTGTTTCTCAGCTCTTGGCTAATTTAGTGGGGCTGACTTTTTGCCATAAGTACTCTATTCCTCCTTTTCCTATCCTGCTGCCCTCAGCATCCTCCCTGAAAGGTGCCACCAGACTGAACTGACACGCCTCCCAAGGCCCCTCGCCTCCCTTCTACCCCCTTTGCTGCCCCAGCAAAGGGCAAGGGGGCTGCACTTTCCCTCTGAGCTGCCCATAAAGGTGTGGATGCAGGCAAGGCCTGAGGATTCCTTCTGGAACCTTCTGGAAGGGCTCAGATTGCCAAGCCGCTCTCGCCCTCTCTCCTTCTGTCACCTCCCTGAGGATGAGAAGTGTGGACTGAGGCGGAATCAGCTGGGGAAATGGGACGCTGAGTGGCCACGCCCTAGACAACCTACGAGCACGGAACCACAGAGCTGTCCGAGGAAACCTACTCCAGGGCCTTCCGAGAGTGGGCTGTGGTCCTCACCAGGGCCAGGTCAGCAAGCCTGGACTTAGCTCCAAGACCCTGGAAGGACGGACTGTGCCAGCTCCAAACATGAGGACCACAGCCTTCCAGGCTCCCCGTCCTGGCCCTGCCCCCTCCAGTTTTTGGTTTGATGTCAGCCCTTCTGCACAGGGAAGGGGGGACGAGGGAAGAACAGAGGGAGGGGTACCAAGGCTCAGAACTCCCCGACCCAGAGCCCCTTGAAGGCAGATAATTTGTGCTTTACAAAGTGATCACCGGTTCTGCTGATTAGAAAAAAATAAACAAACGCACAAAGACCAAACAAAACGAAGAAGACAAATCACAATGACTCAAGAAGGGCAGCAAGATTAGGGGGGAGGAAGGGGGCAGGTCCAGATGGGGGTCGTCAGGGCAGGCTGGCAATGTCTCTCTCTGGAGGGGGACCAACTGGCTTGGGGCTGCTCTCGTTGGCTTTTCCTTCAAACATCATGACTCTGGTTTGGAAGATGGAGAAAAAAAAAAACCAAACAGGATTAGGATTCCTTCCCTCATCGAGGGAAAGATCATCCCCGCCCTCGGGTCTGTAGGGTCCTCAACAGAATGCCCTTGCACCCACTCTCCATGGGATCTTCTCTGTGTGGAAGGGGTGGCTAGCCCCTTTTTCGCAGAAGAGAAAACCAACGTGCAGAGAACTCTGTGTTCTAAGCCATGCGTCTTCCCCTAAACACGCTCCCGGGAGGAGGCAGAGCTAGGCTGGGCCGTGGCTCTGCTCAAAGCCCCTTCAGGTGTTCAAGAACCTCCCGAGCCTTCAGGGGTAACATCTAGGAGGGGCACCTGAGTGGCTCAGTCGGTTAAGCAGCTGACTTTGGCTCAGGTCATGATCTCACCGTTCGACGCTGAGCTCGAACTCACAAAGCACGAGATCGTGACCTGAGCCAAAGTCGGCCGCTCAGCCGACTGAGCCACCCAGGCGCCCCTAAAAACTCAACGCTCAATTCCTGCCTTCCCCACCTGCGCTGCCCCTAAAGCAAACAGCAACGTCACTCGGTGACTCAGACCCCAGACAGATCAGAATCGTCTGACTCCTTGTTAGCCTCTACACATCCCATATCTGGGCATGGAAGCAAATCTTCCAGTTCTGTCTCCCAAATCATTCCCGATTCCAATGGTTTCTGCCTACCTCCTCTGTACCCTCTCCAGGCTGAGTGGCCTCATCTCGTGCCTGCACAGTCTCCCTGCGGCCACTCTCACCCCTACCGCAGACAGAGGCTTTTTTTTTTTTTTTAATTTTTTTTTTTCAACGTTTGTTTATTTTTCGGACAGAGAGAGACAGAGCATGAACGGGGGAGGGGCAGAGAGAGAGGGAGACACAGAATCGGAAACAGGCTCCAGGCTCTGAGCCATCAGCCCAGAGCCCGACGCGGGGCTCGAACTCCCGGACCGCGAGATCGTGACCTGGCTGAAGTCGGACACTTAACCGACTGCGCCACCCAGGCGCCCCGACAGAGGCTTTTAAAAGTCAGCCCCAAGGTGCCCGGGTGGCTCAGTCAGTTAAGCGTCTGACTCTTGACGTTAGCTCCGGTCGTGATCTTGAGGTCGCAGGATCGAAACCTGCATCCGGCTGGGTGCTGAGTGTGGAGCCTGCTTGGGATTCTCTCTCTCCCTCTCTCTCTGCCCCTCCCCCACTCATGCTCTTTCTCTCTAAATAAATAAATATTAAAAAAAAAAGTCAGCCCCTAGCTTAAAGTCATCCAATGGCATCCCTCCACATTAGTGCCAAGGGCTAAGTGGGACCGTGACCTACAAGGTCCCGTGTCTGCCCATCTCTGCAAACTCATCTTCACTCACTGCGCTCACTGATGGCCAGACACACTAGCCTCCATGCTTTTCCTTTAAGCCCACAAGCACAGTTCTGCCTCAGGACACTTGCACTTGCTGTTTCCTCTGCCAGGAATGCTTTTCCTCAGATCTTCACCTGGCTCATCTCTTCACATCTGCCTCCTTCGGGGCTCTGGTCAAAAGCTGTCTTCTCAATGATATCTTCCCTGTCCACCATCCCATCCATTTCTGTTCCTCTCATCCACTTTATTTTTCTTTGTACTACGCCATTGCAATCTGGCGTTTCAGCTTTTTCGGGGTTTTGATTTTGTGTTTGTCTGCCTCTTGTCATTAGAATGAAGCTCCACGAGCCCAGCAATTCATGTGTCCCCAGCGCCTAGAATAATCCTTAGTACATAGCTGGTGCTCAGTAAATATTTGCTAAATTAATACATGATAAATCTACGGAGTCACTGGGTAGACCAGTACCCGACATGCAGTAAATGCATTAAATCTTAGATGTTTTCCAAAAACATCAGGCCTCCTGCTGGCTGCCATCTGGCCTCGCGGGTGCACCGCGGTCTAACCTTGATGGTTGTCCCGCCATACCTCTTGCCCCACCCCACCCCACACTTAAAGCTCTGCGGCCTGACCCGTGGGCTCATGAGCAGTCCTTCAGCCTCCCTGGGCCTCAACCTCCCCCTTCATGACAAAAGAGCTTGGTATATTTTCATTTGTACGTTCAATGCAACAGACTCCCCAGGGAATCTGTCTGTAGTGCTTCTGTGCACTGGGCAGAACCTATGAAGTGTGATTTGGGCCGCCACATGCTAGGTGGTTGCCATCAGCCAGTACCGGGCTGGAGGCTTCGTATGTGTTATCTCACCAGCCCTCAGGACGACTTATTATCCTCTCTCTCTTACAAAGGAAGAAACCGAGACTTGGGGATCTAAGGGGATTTGCCCAGGGGCAGTTCGGGAGCAAGTAACACCATCGACATTTGAACCCCGCCTCCCTTGGGAGCCGGTTGTTCACTCTATGAGGCTCTCAACAACCCCGTAGGGTAGTAGAATCACTTTACAAATGAGGAGACTGAGGCTCAGAAGGCTTCCCAGTAGCTTTATCACTGCCGTCACCGCCACGGTTGCTGCTTACTGAGTGCTGACTCTACAGGAAGTTCTGCTACAGGCGAACTCTGCCTGCAAGGTACACGTTAATGTGACCATTTGACACATAAGGAAATCGGGTTCAGGGAAATTAAGAACCTGGTCCAGTACACCACCCGAGGAATTCTCTCCGCGCAACAGTGACCTTGACTTCAGGGGCCCCAGGAGAGGCGGGCGGTACTCACAGCTTGAGCACAGCCGACCGCTTCCCCAACATCATGTTCACGAAGTCACGGTAGGAGATGGTGTCGCTGACCCCACCTGTCACCTCTGAGATCATCTTTTTCATCTCCAGGTGGGTCTTGGGGACCCCGAGCTTCTCCATCATCCTCTTTAAAGACATCAGGTCTGCCGGAGGAAAAAGCAGATCCGTTAAGTGGAGACAGGCTATGGGCCAAGCGAGGAAGCTGGCAAAGCTCCCCCCACCCCCCCTGCCGGCCCCACCCCGCACCCACTCGAAGGAGCCCAGCAGGACAGCCCCTCCCTGGGGACATGCCTTTCTCTTCTGGGGTGAGTGAGCCCATCATGCCCTCCCTGCTCTCTTTGGAAACAGTATAGACCAGCGGTTAGGGACATGGGCATCTAGAATCCAACAGACTTGGGTTGGAATCCACCTCTGCTCTTCCCGGCTGTGGGGCCTGGGGCAAACTACTCAACCTCTCTGAAACTCTGCTCCCGTAAGTGGCAAAACGGGGTTGACGGGATCATTTGGAAGGACGACGTGCGAGAAGTATCCGGCACAAAGCAGGTGTTCGGTAACAGATTCTTTATTCTGTCACGTCCGCGGACCCCCCCGAGGTGAGGGTGAGCTGTCGCCCGCCGCTCCCGCTACCCAGGAAGTCACTGCCCTGCAAGGTGGGGTCAGGGAGTTGACTTGACCCCAGGCATGGAAAGTCACTCTGCCAGGGGCCCGGTGGCAGCTTCTCTCTACCTGCCACTCCCACCCAGAGGTCCTAGGGTTCCGCCTCGCTGGCAGGGAGAGGATGCCAAAAATATCCTGCAGAGCAGGAAAACCAACAAAAGAAGAAAATTCAAGAAAAACAAGGGAGGCACCAAAAAGTCACTACTCTCTGCAGAATTGCTGCCCCGACCTTCCGGCTCCCAAGGTCTTAGGCAATTTCCTTCATATTGTTTTGTGAACAATGGGTTGGCCAAGGCTGGTGGCACAGAAGTGGGGCAGGGGGCCCCACTTGAGGGCCAGGGGAGTGGTTCGCCAGCTCACCCGAGAGCAGGGTGGGCAGGACAGATGCCAGACCCCTAGGTGCCAGGATGTCCAGGGCATTTCAAAGAAAACCGGGCAGCACTCTGCGGGGAAAAGTGAAAGGTCTCCCCCACGCTGCTGGCCAGACTCTGAATTGGCAAGATCTTTCTGGAAGGCAATTTGGCAAGATGCTTCAAAAGCCTTTGACCCAGAATGTCTAATTCCTGAGATTCACTCTAAAGAAATAATCGGCGATGTCGACAAAGATTCATGCACAAAGATGCTCTTCACAGGAGGATTAAAAGTAGTCAAAATTTGGGGCGCCTGGGTAGCTCAGTTGGTGAAGTGTCCCACTTTGGCTCAGGTCATGATCTCACGGTTCGTAGGTTCGAGTCCCGCATCGGGCTCTGTGCTGACAGCTTGGAGCCTGGAGCCTGCTTCAGATTCTGTGTCTACCTCTCTCTCTGCCCCTCCCCTGCTCACACGCTCTCTCTCTCAAAAATAAATAAGACATTAAAGAAAAAAAAAGCATCTTATTTCAGCCCAGGTCACGATCCCCTGGTTCATGGGTTTGACCCCTGGGTCGGGCTCTGTGCTGACAGCTTGGAGCCTGGACCCTGTTTAGGACTCTGTGTCTCCCTCCCTCTCTCTCTGCCCCTCCCTCACTTGGGCTTTATGTCTCTCTCTCTCTCAAAAGTAAATAAACATTTTTTTTTAAAAGTGCTTAAGATTAGAAATTGTCTACATGGGCAATACTAAGGCATTGGCTGAATAAATTATAGGCCTTCCCTGCAACAAAATATTATGCACCCATTAATTATAATTTCAAAAGAAAAGTTAATCATTTGTCAAAATACCCACATTATATTATTCTTTGAAAAAAATCAGACTCTAAAATGGTATAAAATAGCATTTGTGATTAGAACTGAGGATGGAAGGATGTAAACCAAAAAGTTTCTATTCTGGGAGGTAGGATTGTAGGTGACATTTTTGTCTTTGTGCGTTACTATGTTTTCTAAATTTTCTTTATCATGAAAATGCATTAATTTGATAACCCTAATTTTGTTAAGTTTATTTTGAGAGAGAGCGTGAGTGGGGGAGGGACAGAGAGAGAGAGTAGGAGAGAGAGAGTCTCAAGCGGGCTTTGCACTGTCAGCTGCAGAGCCTGATGCGGGACTCAGTCTCACAAACGGTGAGATCATGACCTGAGCCAAAACCAAGAGTCAGACACTTAACCGACTGAGCCACCCAGGCAACCCTCCCCCCCGCCACCAATTTTTTTTTTTTTTCCAAAGAAAAATAAAAGATAAAAACATTTAAAAAGGAGGGGCGCCTGCTGAGCGTCCAACTTCGGCTCAGGTCGTGATCTCACAGCTCGTGGGTTCGAGCCCCGGGCCGGGCTCTGTGCTGACAGCTCGGAGCCTGGAGCCTGCTTCGGATTCTGGGTCTCCCTCTCTCTGCCCCTCCCCCGCTCACGCTCTGTCTCTCTCCCCTTCCAAAATTAATAAACATTAAAAAAAACCTTGTTTTTAATATTTTAAAAGGAGAAGGAGACAAGACAGAGGAGGGGTAGAAACACTGGCAACAGCAGCAGCACTGAGCTCAGGGCAAAACAGAGGCGGGAAGCCAGTTTGAGAAACAAAGGCTGGGATCTGGACCCTGGACCTGCCACTTAACCATCCCGTGCCCCAAGCAAGTCAGTTACCCTGCTGGGCCTCAGCTTCCTCATCTGTAAAATGGGGATAATTCAGCCGGCCTTGACCAGGTCATAGCATTCCTAGCGATGGTCAAGATACGGTCTTGAACCTGAGTGCCACGGGACAGGCGTTTGTCACCCCCCACACCTGGACCACACGATACAGTAAGGGTCTGCTGGAAGACAGGAAGCAAGGCACACAGAAGCACGATGTCAAAGGCAGGACAGTATACAAAGGCAAGGACGAAGGAACTGCCAGCCCCCTGGACCAGGGCGTCAACAGCCTAAGCATCTCCAGCCCCGGGCAGGCGTGAAACCCTCTACCCTGGGTCCCCCCAGCACCTGGCATGGGAGCCTGAGGTGTGAGCAGGGATGTGGGCGGGAGGGAAGCAGAGAGGAGAGGAGTCTGGGGGCAGTGGGTCCAGGGTAGAAGTAAGACCAGCTTGTTGGCCCGGCCCACAGGGAAGTTTCTGTGCGTGCCCCTCACGCACACAAGTGGGTCAGTGGGGCTCTCTGGACCCCACACCCTCCACCCACCGAACACCCCCCCTCCCCCAGCACACCCGAGGCCTCACTTACCAATCTCGCCCTCATTGTTCAGGTCAAACTCCATGTACTTCTCTGGAAATCACAGAGCAAAACCCGGCATTAGCTCAGAATCAGGGTCACCCCCCTGGAGGGTCCCAGGGGCTCCCCTGAGGGAGCCCACACCATCCTCCTCGGGGGACTTGACGTGAGTCCCATCATCTTAGCCATTGTTTCTGGAGAGAGAGCTCACCCTGCCCACACCTCTCTCCCACAGGCGCCATGGAGAAAGGTGCTAGGGGCCACTCTGACCCTCTGCTGAGGGGGCAGCTGCTTCCTCCCTGGTCCCCCCCACCCCCCCAGCCTGCGCTGGCTGCATCTGAATCACACTGGCAACAGTGACTAGAATAGAATAGGTTCCCAGGCCCTGAGATATAGATTCAGTGGGTTTGGAAAAGGGTGGGGAGGGGGCAGGAATTAGTATGGTTATGGTTTTAGAGTCTCAGGTGATTCTGATGGGCAGTCAGATTTAAGGAGTCCCTGTGGTTCTGAACCTTCTGGGGGGCTGTAGGCACCACTGAGAATCTGATGCTCTCCCAAGAGAAACGCCATAGATCTGCCCTTGACCCAAAGTGGCACACACAGGGTCCCGGGGTACACAGACCCTCCCCTAAACCCCCCCTATAGACCTTGAGTGACGCCTCCCTGATCAAGAGGTCCCGGGAACCCCCAACAGCAAGGGAGAATATGCAGGGCAATGAGCCTGGTATCTTCTTTTTTTTTTTTTTTTTTTTTTTTAATTTTTTTTTTTTTCAGCGTTTATTTATTTTTGGGACAGAGAGAGACAGAGCATGAACGGGCAAGGGGCAGAGAGAGAGAGGGAGACACAGAATCGGAAACAGGCTCCAGGCTCTGAGCCATCAGCCCAGAGCCCGATGCGGGGCTCGAACTCCCGGACCGCGAGATCGTGACCTGGCTGAAGTCGGGCGCTTAACCGACTGCGCCACCCAGGCGCCCCGAGCCTGGTATCTTCTAACGAGGGCAGCGTGTGGCCCTGGGCAGGTCACCCCCGCCACAAAACTGCAGGGCCCTCAAGGTCTATTTTGCACTGAACAGCCAGCATGGGAAGCCCAAGGTCTTCCTGGAAGGTCCCTGTGACCTTCATGAGCGCCTGCCCTCCAGCCTCTTGGGCTGCCTCTTCCTCCCTCACCTCTGCTCCACTCCCACTGGCCCTGCTGCCTCTGGCCCCTCCCCCCCCCCCGCCCCCCCACACACCCCGCTCCCGCTGGGACATGCTGGCCTGAATGTTCCTCCCAGCTGGGCTGGGAGCCTTTCGGGCTGGTCCCTGCCACCCCCACAAGGCACCTACCCCATCTGCACGCCCTGCATTGCCTTTCTCTTTGCCATACCCTCCCCCGCTAGCCTCTCCCTTGGGCACGGCTCTCTGTGTATTCCCCATTGTAGCCCCAGGCCTGCAGGGGCCCTGGCACGTAGTAGGTGCTCATTCGGAGGTCAAATGAGTGAATGATTTGAAAACCTTCACAGCCCCTTTGCTTCCAAGGTAAGTTCCTGTGGTCCCACTCTGCCCTGATGGACCCAACCCTCCATCCCAAGGAAGACAAGCAGAGGAGACTTCTGTCCCTCCTCCCAGAGCCACCTCCCTGGTACCCAGACAGAAGGGAATGGACTGCTCCTCCTTTGCGTGGCTCTCTTTCGGGCGGCGGGACAGGGTGTGTCTTTGTTCTAGCTTCTCTTTTTGTTAATGTCAGGAGCCCCGTTGCATAATGGTTCAGAGCAGGGGCTCTGGAAGGAGACCAACCGTCGGCGGGCCGTGTGACCCCACGCAAGCAAGCCCACCTCTCTGAGCCCGGGTTTCTTCATCTGTAAGTTCAAGCTCACACCCGTCTCCCTCCTGGCCGAATTGGGATGAGTTGGGGGGAGCTCCCAACACAGCATTCCAAGCGCTTCCCCCAAGGTCAACGCTCAACAAATGCTTCGCCATCAGTGTCCTGCCTCAGGACAACTAAGCTGTGGGCAGCCTGAGGAGCACTTGGCAGGCTCTTGGCCTCGGAGCAGGGAGGATGCCCACACTGCCAAGACTTCGGGGGTGTGTGTGGGGGGGGGGGGGGAGGGGGAAGGCGGCCTCGAGGATATCCGCTGAGGTCCTCCAGCGGCCAGGGCTCCCTGCACACCCGGTGCATCTCCCAGGCAGGAAAGGTGGGACTATCCCGCTCCTTATGTGCACGGCTCCTCTCCTTTCGAGCCGCTGGCCGGGAACCAAGCGCCAGGGCCCGGAACAGAGGGACCTTTATGCCGCCCCCTCCCCGCGCGGGCTCCCAGGCCCTGTTTTCTTTTCATCCCGTGCTGCTGGGATTCAATGGGCAGAAACTCTGCCCCCTGCCCCACTGTGGCGACACAAACGTCCATTCTGCGCAGGGGCTCCCGAGCCGCTCCCCCGCGGAGGGGAAAGGCAAGGGCTGCTACAAAGAGCTGATTGTGTGCTGGGGCCCCGGGAGCAAGCAGGGCCTGGACAGCAGCGGACGGGAGCCAGCCTGAGCCCTGCCTGCCGGGCAGCTGGGGGGAGAGGGGCCAGGCTGGGCCCGCGGCCGAGGGTGAGGGGCCTGGGGTGGCGTGGGGACAGGTGGAGGGGCCCGTGCCCGCGCCCACGCCCCCCACCTCACGGCCCTCTGGGAAGGGGGCGTTCTGGAAGAAACGGGGGCTCAGCCTGGCCCTGCGGGGTAAGGAATCCTACGTGCCAGGGGCCAGCCCAGCTCTGTCAGGGAGGGTGGGGCAGACAGCCCCAGCTTACCTTTGAAGGCCGCGAGCTTTTCCACCAGGTTCTCTTCATCACTGTACTTCTGGTCACACAGAAACTCCTTGAAAGGCAAAAGAACAGTGCTGAGCGCGGGGTCAATGGGCAGAGCTCACTGACACGTAGGCCCATCGCCCTGGTGCCTGCTCCCGTGCCAGGTGGCCGGGCTTGGCCAGGCAGGGCAGGAGGCCCCAGTGTTTGCCCTGGCCTCCTGTCAACCCCTCAGAGACAGATCTGCAGTCCACGCCGTGGGCAGGAAGTATGCTCAGCAGCCCGGGGTGCCGCCCGGAGGGCCTGCCCTAAATACCTTCAGTCAGCCTCCGAATTACCAGTGTGGGGAACTGGGCCTGCCCCAGCAGGGCACCCCAGCTCCAAGGTCCACGGAGCCGCGAGCCCCAAAGGCAAGCTGCCTGGTTCTAGCATTAACTCCTTAGGGATGTGACCCCAGCATATGAATTCCTGTCTGCCTCTCGATTGCTTTATCTGACAAATGGGTAGAATTATCATAGCTACTCCTCCAGTTTGTTAAGAGCCGCCAAGGAGCGTGTATGTATGACTCTGGGAAGACAGCAAGTGCTCAATAAACAGCAACTCTTGTATGATTAGCCTCTGCTCTAGCCTTGGGAGGTCACTCACCCTCTCACCTGTAAAACAGGGCTACCGTCCCCTCAAATGATGCCTTTCAGAACCAGGTGGGGGGAGGGGCCTGTGGGGGGGGGGGTGGGGGACACTAACGTCAGCCTCCAGAAGGAAACACCAACCTGCACGATCTCTTGGGATCTCCCAGTGGGTCCAAAAGTTAGTTACTATTATCGCTCCCATTTTACAGATGAGGAAACTGAGGCGCACACAGCCAGAGCTTCAAGTGAATTTCATCTCATGAACAGCCTGCATCCTTCATCCCAACACCCAAAGACGGGCGGATGGCAGGCATTCGTCTGGCTTTAAAACAAAACACTACAAATTAGTAAGTACCTGTTTGGCCAGGTAGCTTACTTGCCTTGTTGATCTTCAGGCAGCCCTGGAGCCTGCATTCAGGGAAATACTCCTGTCCTCTGGGAAAGCGGAGGCCACGTTCCCATCGTAGCACCAGATTCTGCAAATCCCCTCTCCTCTCTGGCCACCGCTTTCCTCATTACGGAGCAGATCGAACACGGGCATGGGACCTCCACTCATTTAAGGGACCACAGGGTATACAGCTCTGTTCGAGGCACCAAGGGAGCAGGTGAGACCAAGGAACTAAGGTCCTTATCATTAAATTACAGGAAGCTCATGCTTAAAATGATGTTAAATGGGACGCCGGGGTGGCTCAGTGGGCTGAGCATCCAACTTCGGCTCAGGTCATGATCTCGCGGTTTATGAGTTCAAGCCCCGCATCAGGCTCCCTGCTGTCAGCAGAGAGCCGGCTTTGGATCCTCTGTCCCTCTCTCTCTCTGTCCCTCCCCCACTCGTTCCCTCCTTCCCTCTCTCTCTTTCTCAGAATAAATAAACTTAAAAAATAAATAAAATCATGTTAAATATTATCTAGATCACTCGATCTGTTTCTAAATTCCCGCTGTCACGCCCCACTAACTGATGACAAAGTCTGTACTTGTACGTCAGGGCTCAGGCAACAAGTATATCTAAGCACGAGGCAGAATATGATCCCTTCCGGGGTTCAAGTTCCTCCAAATTAACTCAGCCCCCTTTGACAGGGAAGGAGACACCCACCTGCCAGCGCGGCTCCCCTTGTTGGTTCTGGGGGCTGTCCTACCCCTTGAGCTCAATTTGCTTGGATCCAGATCCCTGAACGGGCTCTGGCTGGTGCAGGATTTCTGCTTTGGCAGGCACTGTGCTGTCTCACTGAGGCGGGAACAGCAGGGCCAGAGAGGTTAAATCACATGTCTGAAGTCCCTGCAGGTTTGGTTTGGAACCTGAGTCTGTTGGACCCCAGGGTCTGTCTCCGCCTCCAGCAGCCTCACAGAGGGCAACCCCAGGGCCCCTGGTATGGCTTGGCCACAGCTTCACATCGGCCCTCGGTACCATGTGCCACGCACGGTCTTGCCCCCACTTAGCTGGAGCTATGACTGTCTCTTGCAGCCTGGGAGGCTGCCCCCCACCCCCACCCCCGGCTGGCTCGGTCCAGGACTTCTCTTCCTCTTGGCTCCCTCTCCTAGCTCTTTTCCACCTGCTCTTTTCTCCAGTCCCATTCTCTGCCCAAAAGTAGGACAATTACCTCTTGTCTGTGACCCTGAACACACCAGGCACCTCCCAGGGTCACAGGTCCTATTATCTGCACAGCAGAGGGACAAATAGGTCCGTGGTTCCCAGACTTGGGGATAACGCAGAAGAAAACATTTCCCCAAAAAAAAAGTTAAAAATAAGGGGAGGTGCTAACATAGACCTGCCAAGGTTTTATTTTGCCAAGTAGAGACTTTAAACAATCACCACTGACTGTTGCCGTGACTTCAGCAAAGGACATTTCGTAAAAGTAGGAAGTTCATAATCTCAGAATTTTTAAATGGAACCCATTTAGCTGACGTTCGGTTCACTGCCTGGCCCCTGTGTTCCCTCCGCTTTGCCATTTCAGGAACTGGAAAACCCTCGTGGGGAGGCAGAAGGGCACGGGCAACGCCCAACATCCGGGAGCCCCTGGCGAGAGACCTGGGGGCCCTCCCCGCTCCCACATTCTGGCCGACCAGAAATCCTGCGCCAGCCAGAGCCTGTCCGTATCATGTACCAACCCCCTCTAGGGATCCAGGCAAACTGGGCTCAAGGCTCGGACGCGGTCCCTGGTCTTGGAGACAAATCGCACACCGACGAACCCAGGACCAGCAGGGAGCGATTCTCGTTCACGGGGCCTGACCCGGAGCCGGCAGGTGCAGCAGCTCTGGGCGTCCAGATTATTGTCTCGGTGATAGAGTCAGTTTTCTCCTTAGTGCTTATGACCGCGTGACAGGCTGTCCAACTGGTTCTCCCCCTCTCTCCCCCCCCCCCACCAGAGTGAGTGCCTCCCCCATGCCAGGCTCGCTCCCACCTTGGGAACCGTAGCTCCAGCTGTGCCCCCTGTCTGCAGCGCTCGTCCGCCCCCATCTGCATGGCTCTCTCCCTCAACATCTTCACCCATTTGCCCAGCTTTCACCTTCTCCGGGAGGCAAATCCCATCCATCCTGTCCACTGCGGTCCTCAGCCTCCACTCTCAACCCGCTTTCTTCCCGCACATCCCTCCTATCCCACGGGAGGAACCGCCTCCTAACACAATTTACAACGTAGCGCTTACTCAGGGTGCTGTCCGTTGTCGGTCTCCCCCTGCCACAGAAGAGGTGCCCAGTAAATTTTTGCGGGCTGAGACAATGGAGACCCAGCGAGGACAAATAACTTGCGCAAAGCAGCACGGCTGGCAAGTGCCCGAGCTGGGATTCAAGTCCACAGTGGGGGCTGTCTGGGCTCTTTCCCTGCTAGGCTGAGGCATCAAAGTGACCCGAGAAAGCGGGTGTTGGAAAGACGCCGGGAGGAGGCAAGCCTTTGGCCAGAGGTTCCAGGAGGACGTCTTTACTGTCTCATGCCCCACAGAAGCCTCACACACGGCAGTGCCCAGCATATAGTAGGTGCTTAGGAAACATCTGTTGAATGAATGGAGAGGCCTGGCATTTAGCCCAGAATCACTTTCTCCACTTGGCAGAGCAGCTTTGCAAAGGCGTATGCGTGTTGATACAAGACTGGAGGGGCTCAGGGATTAGAATCACACGTTTCCTTAGAGCCAAAAATGACAAGTGCCCCGAGCCACAGAGTGGCCAGGGCTGGGACAGGCAGCTGACCCGCTCACGCGTGGGCGGGCAGCCTTTGCTGAACCCGGGCTTGGGGCAGCTGGGAGGACCATGCCTTCGGCAGGGCGCCAGGGAGGAGGCAGGTGGGCAGCAGAAACGGGAGTCCCAGGGGTGGGCCTGCCGGCTCCCACCCCAGCTCCAAGCTTTGGATTCTTGGTTCCTGTTCATGCGCAGCCCACAGCCTCCCCACCTCCAGGCGTCCTCCCTCTGTATCCTTGTCCGGCCTCGGGGCACAGCCATGTCCGGTGGGCAGGCACCCTATGTGTCCACACTCCAGGACCCCCCCCCGCCCCCCCCCCCCCCGCTGCCCTGACTCTGGATCCCCAGACAGAGGAGAAAGAGACAGAAGCCACCGCAGATGTTCAGAACCAAAGCAAAAGGAGAAACAGACGGCAAGCTGGAGCCAGAATGCCTGGGATCGAATCACTTAGTAGCTGTGTGAAAATTACTTCATTCGTCTGTGCTGTGGTTTCTTCATCTGGAGGAAGGAGAAAAAGATCTCGCAGGCTTGTCCCGAGGGGTTGCAGTATGAAAGCATAAATACATGTAAAGTGTTCATACAGTGCCTGGCACCTAGTAATTACTAAATAAATGTTAGCTGTTTATTCTTGCGGTCTTCTAATATTTATATCTGTACAATCTACTTCTAACCCCCACAGCTCATCATCCAGCCACAATGGCCGGGGGACCCACATAAACGCTCCTAGGTGCGGGGTGTGCAGGGCAGAAGTCACAGGAAGGGAGGTGGGATCAGGTTGTTGACTGGGCTCAAATCCCAGCTGCAGCACTTCTTAGCTCTGTGGCCCTGGGCAACTTGCTTTACTACTCTGGGCCTCAGTTTCCTCATCTGTAAAATGTAATCATAATGATAGAACCCCCCCCCCCCCCCCCCCCGCAATGGGTCGGCATAAGGATTAAAAGAGCTGACTGCGGGGGCGCCTGGGTGGTTCAGTCGGTTAAGCGTCCGACTTCAGCTCAGGTCATGATCTCACACTCCGTGAGTTCGAGCCCCGCGTCGGGCTCTGGGCTGACAGCTTGGAGCCTGGGGCCTGCTTCGGATTCTGTGTCTCCCCCTCTCTCTGCCCCTCCCCTGCTCATGCTCTCTCTCTCTCTCTCTGTCTCAAAAATAAAATAAAAATCATGCTCTCTCTCTGTCTCAAAAAAAAAAAAAAAAAAAAAACATTAAAAAAAAAATAAAAGAGCTGAGTGCATAGGAAGAGCCCAGACTCCTACAAGTAAGTGTTAACAGTCATGTGTTTGGGTCGCCCAAACTCAAGCCACACCAAGAGATTAGGTGTGAAAAGGGGAAAAGCAGAGACCTACCCACAGCTCTCTGTCCCGCATTGTGCCACGGAGTCCTCCTGGTAAGCCTTGACCCTCCGGCCATCCCTATTTGTCCCTGGACACCCGGCTGACCCGGCAGGGATGGGCCATCCACACGGGACAGAGTGCTCCCATCTCGGCCCCAGGGGACGGCGCCCACGGCCACACCTGCTCACTGCTGCCTCGCGGTCGTCTACAACCTCTGATGCCCATCAGAACCTACCACCCATCCCTGGGATTCCCATCTGCATACTCATGCCCGGAAGGGAGAATATCCAAAACCAGCAGAGGTTGGCAGCCCCCGCCGCGTCCGGGCTTCCAGATCCCTGCCACCTGTCTGCCCCGCCCCCACCCCCTACTTAACTCTCTTTCTGGGCTGGTACCTCTAGCACCTGCTCCCGGATACTTGCTCCTGGCCCTCCAGGCTTGTCTTTATGTATCAGCCGCAGCAGAATCTTGGGGCGGGCAGATATCACCATCTGGGAGGCCATCCAAGGAGCTGGTGGTTGAAACCCTGGGCGAAACCCCCAAGGACAGGCAGCACCATACTGGGCCGGGCCGAGATGCTTCTGACGCAACCCATGGGCTCTTAAAGGGCCAGGCCGGCCCGGTGCGTGGCAGGAGGCTGTAACGTGCACCCGCGAGGACAGCAGGCTCACGTTCCCCTCAGCAGCTTTGGGGCCTCACCCGGATGCTGCATCCTGGCCAGCGGCAGACGGGGCAGCTGAAGAAAAACACCCCACCGACTTCACAAATGAAGCAGACCCTACCGAAATTCTATCCCCGGCTTCCTGTGACACGGCCACACCAAGGTCGAGACCGGCTGTACCTGCGGGGACACTGAATCCTCAGCGGCTCACGTGGCCGCTTATCACCATCTCCCTTATAATATATTAAGGAGGAGCAAGAGAGACCGGTGCCCAGCGATGCCAGCTGGGCACATTCGCCTGGGCAGGGACAGGGTGGCATTGGTCAGGTCTCAGAGGTCCCCTGTCGCTGGGGATACATAACCTCTGGGCACAGACACCGAGCTTGCTGTGTCCAGTTCTTCCCAGTACAGATGGTACCCGGGTTTGGAAATAACCATCAGGCCCCTAAATGCTAAAGGGAATGCCAAGTGCCCTTCACTCGACCCAGGAGGGCTGGGGAAGGCAGGACAGTAGCCAGAGATCCCTATCGCTTAGGCAGGAGCGGCCTGTGTCACAGCTAGGCCACGGCCACCTGGTGGACAGCGTCCCGGGCTGGCCACGGGTGCCGTCTGGAGTCAGAGTCCCGGCTCTGCCACTTGCTGGCCGGGTGACCTCGGGCCGGTGACTTCACCTGGCTGAGCCTCCGTGTCCTCATCTCTAAAACCTGAGTAATCCCTGTCCCCCGGGGATGTTTATAGATCCTTGCTGCACATCTGGGTAAACAAACGCTCTGCCCGGAGGAGTCACTGAGACGATGTATGTGCAGCACTGTGCACGGAGCGAAGGCACAACCCAAGTCATTAGCTAAAGATCCTGGCCTCTGGCCAGTTCGCGATGCAGCCCTCGCTGTCTTCTGCACTCCTCCTGCTCAGTCGGAAGGATAAGGGCACTCTGAGGGGCACCCATCCAGCCCCATCGCTTCTCTCTGTCCCTGTGGGGAAACTGGAGAGACCCTGTCCCGTTGCCAGATAAGGCCAGGCCTGGCTGGCCCGGGGTCACCTGCCATGCCTCCAAGGCACAGGGAATGTCAGCTATGTGTGGGGGTGGGGGGTGGGGGAGTGGGAGGTGCTGGCAGGTCCCGCCCGCCTCAGTAGTGCAGAGAATGCGCCCACAAGCACGCGCACTCACACACACGCGTGGCAGAGACGCACGGGCTATCTTCAGTCTATGCTGTTTAAACCCAGGCGGTTGACTCATCCCACCCACTCCCCCGGCCCCCCAGTCTTGTTTTCTGTAAAATGGGAATAGACGCTCACGGCATCAGAGTGAGTGTGCAGCGAGATGTTGCCTGAGTGCTCCTGGAACACTGCCTGGCACATGCCAAGTGCTCAGAAAATGATCAAGAAAACTAAAGCAGAACCAGGAAAAAAAAAAAAAAAAACCCGTGCACTTCTATGCAGCCCCGCAGGACCTCCAGGTACCCCCGAGTCTCCTTCAGTTTTTTACTTCTGACCCTTATAACAGCAATCGCTAAGACTGAGCTGCCCTGGTACCCCTTGGAAGCTGGCCCAGCCCGGGGTGGGGGGAAGGCCCCAGAGGGAACTGGGATGTTGGCCCAGAGAAGCCCCCAGAACTGCCAGCCAGGCTGGGCTCTGCCCCAGGCAGCGGCCCCAGGGGTACTTAAGCACATGCAGCAACGGAGTTACGAAGCCCCATCCTCCATGCGTCCCTGCTTCCGCAGGGCCACTGGGAAACTGCTCGGGCCAGCCCCCCAGAAGCTCTGCTCCGACGGCGCAGTGAAGCTATACCCCAAAGCAAAGCAATCCGAACTGCCAAGGTTCCCTCTAGAATCCGCCCACCCCAGGGAACTTCTGCTGCGGTCATGGTCGTGGGTGGAGCGGACTCAGACCCTCAAACAGAGCGACTCCCTCAGAGTCTGCAAAGAGCTTCTGTCTGTCTGCTCATCTCCACTGACTGTCCTAGGGACTCGGAACAGAGCAGGGATCACTGCTCCCTGAGTTGCAGGCAGGGAAGACTAAGGTTCCACCAGATGAAAGGGCCTGTCCCAAGCTACGCAGCCAGCAAGGGCTGCGACATGTCACAGACCCTGCCCCTGGGTTTCCCCTCCCCGCGTCTTAACGCGCCAAACAAACCGATGATAACGATCATGACAGCAGCTGGCTCTCCCGTGTGCTTTCCATAGATTATCTCCCTGAAAAATCACGACAATGAACTACCACTACCTCACGCGGATGGCCCAAGGTCAGAGAGCCAGCGAGCACTCTGCCCACCCCTTCACCCCCACTCATGACTCCATACTGTGGGGTCATGCCGCCTTGACCTCCTGGGGTGGGAAGCAGCTCAAACTTCTGGTTTGATCCTGGAGTCCCCTTCCTATGGTTTGATCCAGCGGCCCAACAGCAGCCTGGGTTCACATGACGTGGCTCAGGATAGCACGTGGGCAGGTAAAGGAAGCTAGTTCTGCTTCTGTGTGACCTGAGCCAGCTGCCTGCCCTCTCTGGGCCTTGGGATGCCAAGGTGGTTACGTGGACCCTCCTTGCTCACCTTCCCCGGTCCCAGCACTGTCCAGATCAGCCCCTGAGAGCCACAGCCCCACTCCCTTCTGAGCCAAGCCAGTCTACCTCCCCAAACAACCCGGTAGCTCACCCCACCCCCCACCCTGGGGACTGGCATGGAAAGTCCCACACATTCTCAGCTCCTCTGGTTTGTCTGACTGTAATCACTTCTCCCCCATCTCCAGTTGTCTCTGGCTCAGGGTTCTGCTGGCTGTGGGTGGATCCAGCCAGCCTGGAACCCGCCCGGCCGAGTGGCCCAGGGGGCTGTATGAGGTCAGGGTTCCAGGCTCCTGTCCAGAGGGCAAGAGCAGCCAAGACCAAGGGCGGGCTGGCTGTGGAGTAGACTGGAAGGTGGCCCAGCAGCTTGGACCCCTGAGAGCCCCAGCCAGATGTCCAGTCTCCCTTTTAGCTGTGCTCAAGATGGCACTCGGGGGCAGGGCAATGATGGCAAAGAGGAGCCCAGAGTTTACTTGGAGGGACCCTGGGTCCCCAGAGCCCCGCATGAGATTCCTACAGCCAGTGGAATGAAATCAGATAGGCTGCCTAGTTCCAGGCCCTCCAAAAAGAATCAAGGGAATCAAGCCCCAGCGAGAGGAAATACTACCCCCAAGAGGCAGCCCCTAGACCCACCTCCACACAGCCTGGACCCCGATGACACTCACCCGCTTCCCATGCCGGGACTCTGAGCTGGGCTTGGACCTCGGGTGCCCAGCCGCTGAGGGAGCCGGCAGGGGGAATAGCTAGTCTTGTGTCGGTGAGCCCGTTAGGAGTGAATCTGGGAGACCGCCTCGGGGAAACAACTCTGGCACCGTCCACGACGTCTTCCCTCCTGGCAGGTGCGGGACCACGCACGCTCCGCGCCTTGCCTCAGCCAGTCCTCATGGTGACCCCCACTCCGCCCTGAGAGCCTTTGCTGATCACCACAGAGCTGGTCCGCGATGGAGGCCAGGCCTGAGCCCAGGTCTCACAGAACCCCAAAGCTAGGACTGTGCTGCCCTTGAGCTTTGGTCAATCCAGGCAGGCCCTGGCACTTTCCCTTATCTTCTACGATTTACATGCTCGTTCCGCAAACGTTTACGGAGCGCCCATTGGGCGCCCAGCCACAGTAGGAAGGATTTCTTTATAGAAATCCACCAGGGCCAATGAGAAAAGCATCAAGCCTCTCGGAGAAGCTTCCCTAAAAAGTTGGAGTGAGAAAGAGGTGTGGGGTGGGGGCGGGGGTGGAGCACTGGCCTGCAGCCTGGACCCCCGGGGTTCTAACCGGGGTCCCATGTGGACTCTGGACTTGCTGTGCCACCTCGCCTCTCTGAGCTGGGACACATGGGGGGGGAGGGGGGGCCCTCCTGCGCCACATCCTTGCAGCTGGTCCCAGGCGGGCTTCCGGGGAGCCCCGGCCCCCGGGGGCACCGGAGCTCCTGGGCGGGCCCTACCTCCCCAGTCTAAGAGTAACGACTTGCAACCCGAGCCGAGGGAGGAGGAGGGGGAGGGAGGAGGGGGAGGGAGGAGGGGGGACCTACCTGGAGGCGGGAGGCACAGGGGCAGGGGCCGAGGGAAGGAATTGGGGGAAGCCCAGAGGAAGGAGAGAGGGGGTTGAGGCGGCTCCAGGCACAGCCTCGCAGACGGGGGCGGGCCCCGGGGGGCTCTGGGATACTCGGGGGAAACTCGCCGGCCGCCCCGGCGGCGCGCGCTTACCCGGTTGATCTCGGCCAGCCTCCTCTCCTGCCGGGCTTTGAGCAAGCCGAACGCCTTCCCTCCTGCCGGAGACAAAGAAGCGGCCCGGGAAGCGTGGGTCTCCCCGGGCCCCGCGCGGCGGACCACGCCGCGCGCTCCGCGCGCGCAGGTGGCGGGCGGGGGACTCCGCGCCGGGGAGGGGGCGGGGCAGGGGCGCGGGGACCGCGGCGCCTACCTTGGAACCTGTTGCCGAGCGCGACCGACATGGCGAGCACGGGGCTCCTCCCGCCGGCTCCGGGCTGGGCGGCCGCGGCGAGGCACGACGACGAGGGAACTGGCGCCCGGTCCGAGCTCCGGCGGCGTGTGGCGGCCGCACCGAGGGGCGGAGGGATGGCGCGGGCGGCCGGACACACCCCTCCCGCCCTCCACCCGCCTCACCCCCGCCCCCCCCCCACCCCGAGTCCTCCCGCCCCGCCGCCCGGCCGCCGGCATCAAAGCGGCTATTATACGGGGCGCCGCGCCCGCCGCCCGCCCCTCTGCTGGAGGACGCGGAAAATGCACAGCGCGGGGCCGCCCGTGAGCGCCTCCCTGCCTGCTCCTCCCGGGACCTCGACCAGTCCCTTCCCAGCGCCGGGCCGCGGTTTCCCCTTAAAGAAACTTGGGGACCATCTCAGTACGCACTTGCTGTTGGGGTGGCCTCAAGGATCCGATACCGTCCCGGCGGGCGGAGAGCCGGCGTCCACCCGCCGAAGCTGTTAAGTCGCCGCGGCCCTTTGCGCAGCACGCGCTCGTGGAAGGCAGGCCAGATCTTTATTTTTAACCCTCGGAAGAAAACTATGAAAGCTTTCAGGCCGTTTTGTGTGGTTGCTTTTCTGTTTGTAATGACACAGTGTCACTAGGACATCAGTGATACCTGAAGTCAAGTCGGGATGCTTTCCTGTTTTGTTACTAAAATCTATTTCTTTAAAATGTTTTCGCTTGAGAGAGAGTGTGTAAGTGGGGCAAAGGGGCAGAGGGAGGGGGAGAGGGGAGAGAGAGGGAGAATCCTAAGCAGGCTCCTCACTCAGTGCAGAGCCCGATGCTGGGCTGGATTCCGAGACCCCGGGATCATGACCTGAGCCAAAATCAAGACTCCGTGGCTCAACCTACTGAGCCACCCAGGTGCCCCTGAAATCTATTTCCTGGGCACTCACTGTGGCGCACAGCCAGATCAGTACAGGATATATTTATGTTATTTAATTCTCAAAGCTCTATGAAATCGCACTGGCTGTTCCCATTTTGCAGAAAAGTCAGGAAGCCGAGGCCTGGCAAGCCCACTGCGATGATAAATAAACCGCTAGCTCCTGGAAGAGTGGGGCTCAGGGCGCAGGAACCGGGGACTAGTTAACAGGGAGGGAATGAAGTCTCGCGTCCAAATCAGGACATTTCTGAGAGTGAAGGGTGGCAGCCATAGGCACAAACAGGGACTGTCCTGGGCAAGACGGCACACTTGGTCACCAGTGATGTCCCTCCCCTCCCCCCCACAAACACACATCCAAACACACACAAAAGAAGCATGTCCCTGGGGATTGGATCTGGGAAACCTCCTTCCTCACAGACTTGCCTTGTACGTCTTGACCCCTAGGGTTGGGATCCTGGGACCAGCTGGCCATCTTTTCTTCTATTTGTCCCTAGGGGAGGAAGTGGCCAGGCTGTCCCAAGGAAGGGGGCAGGACAAAAGGGAATGTCCCAAGGTGGGCTAATGCCAAGGGCAGCAGCAGTTCAGGACCCCACTTCCCCAACTCAGTGAGCACCTGCTGAGTGAGCATCACCGATGCCCATTTGCCCCTGGGGTTTGGATCTAGCCAAGCCGTGTGACCTTGGGCAAGGTCCTCAAGGTACTTGCTTGAGCCTCAGTGTCCTGATCTGCAGAATGGAGGAGACAAGCGCCTCTCACCAAGCAGGGGCTGTTATAACTTTTATGACTTTTTGGGGTGTCGTAAGCAGGCAATAGAAACTTGCAGGGGAGAAGGGCTTAGGAGCTACGACCCGTGGTTGATGGGAAATATTCCACCTGGAGGCCGGACGAGGGAGCTGACCTGGAATGCGGCCCTCGTAACACACTTCCCAGTCCAGGCTCGGATGGCCCGTTGCCCTGGCCAGTTGCGGTGGTCGGCCCCATTAGCCTCTCTGCAGGGCTGAGGCCACCCCACCTTCCAGTGCTCAGCCGCTGGGCTGCATTGCCAGCCAGATGTGCAACAGCTGTTGCCACATTCCACCCAGCACAGCCCCACCTCTGGGCCAGAGAGTGGCTCTGTATACACCAGGCATGACCGGACCGCGTGAGTCATGAGACGTCAAGCCTGAAGTACGTCACCATGGAATGGAGAGGAGGCCTGTTCTCCCCCCCCACCCCCACCCCCCGCTCCCATTGGGATTCTGGGACTGGGCTTTGCTGAGTCCCACAGCTTGAGTGGCTAGGGGCTTAATGCCAAGAGCAGGCATCAGAACGGCTGTGTGATCTGTCAGCAGAGAAGGCGGGTGTTGGGGGCGAGGGGCCCGAGGGCATCAGACCCTATCCCAGAGATCTTCAAAGAACCTTCCTCTCCTTTCCCCACTGATACCAGACACCAATCATCAAACTCACTGTAGAGCAATGGCCTTCTGTTTTGGCCCCCTTGCCCCTGTCCTCCCTCTCAAATCAATCAAATCACTCCCCAGGTCACTGGTGTCCCCCCCCCCGCCCCCACACACACACCCCTCACCCTCCGTGGCCTTGGCTCTCAGGTTCTCTGTGGAGGAGCGAGCGTCTTCTCTGAATGCCCTCCCCCAACAGGATCAGGAGAGGGTACAGACAAGCTCTCGCTATATAGCCTTGCACCCAGAGACCCCTGTTATTCTGAATGGGGGGGGGGCCTGGCCTAAGCTGGGTCCATCTGTCAAGAGAAGGTGGGATCAGGGCAGTTTCAAGCTCGTCTCTGTTTGACCTGACGACATGTAAACCCAGGAACTATGGTCGGAGGGGAGGGGGGAGGCGATGGAGTGGGCTTGTCTTCCATCAAGCTCGGGAAAAGCAGAGAAAACTTCTCTGTGGGGAGAAAAGACAGAGGCAAACACGGAAGGAGAAGCAGAGGCCGAGGCCAGGGAAGAGGCGGGAGGGAGGGGACAGGAGAGTCCCCACCCTGGGCTATTCCGAACCAGATTCTAGAAGGTCCTCCATATCCTCCCAGCAAACTCCCCTTTTTTACTTAAACCGACCCGAAAGGGGTTCAGGCTACATGGCCAAACCGTATATGCTCCATAGTCCGTTCTACCCACACAACCTGGCTTCCTGGAGTGATCCGTGCTGGCCAGGCCTCCACCCTGCAAACCCTGAGCTATGGAATGTTCCCGCTGTCTCCCCACCCTTTGAGGCCTGGCCCAAAGCCCTCCTTCTCCTCCTCATTGGGGTCGCTCCCTGGGCCTTCTTGTGCCGGCGGACACGTGATTTTGAGTTCACTGTTTCCTGCCCCAGAGGTCAGCAGAGGGCCCCTCATGCTCCCCTAGACGTTTCCCGGTAACCCCCTGCAGCAGAGAGGAGAGAGTAGGTGACTATGGTCACAGGACCCCAGCAAAGCCCTCGCCATGGGGAGACCCCGGCAAAGCCAGTGAGCTCAGCTCTTGCCACCTTCCTGGTACTGCACGGGCGCAAGACAGATCACGGAACATTCTCGTACCCACCCATTGGGTGCTGGGTGTGCGCATCCACGTGCCAGGGTAGTGAGTCGGCACCCACAGCCAGGGCCCCTGCTGCGAACCAGCAGGAGAAGACCAGAGGCATGCCGCCCAGCGGGTAAAGGGGTCCTTTATTTTCACATTACACAGAGCTGGTTCATGCTGCTGCCAGTGCCCCCTGCCTGGGGTCAAAAGAGCCATGGGAGGGGTGGTGGGTCCCCTGAAGCACCTGTCCCAGGGCAGACGGTCTGCTGTCTACCAGGAAGAGGGCCCTGGGAAAGGGGCGGGGCTCTGGGAGAAAGTACCAAGAATTCTGGACAGAGGCTGCCAGGGGGGGCCTGGCCACAGGGGGACCGGACCAGAGTGGCAGCCAGGCCTCCACACCCTGCAGGGGCCTCCCTGGTGGCAGGTGGGGCCACAGGGCCTTAGGGTCAGTGTCAGTCAGTCAAAGGCCAACTGGGGTCATGGGGTTACAAAGAGGAGCTCCCACATGACCCCAATCTCCCCGACTCAGGCCCCTTCAGGCCCTTGAGGCGCAGCTTTTTTGGACGGGCCACAGGCCGAAAGGTGCACTGGGGCCCAGGGCATGTGATTCCCAGGATCTTCAGAACAAAGTATTCTACAAAGTCAGTGGTAGCCGTGCAGGGGTGGGCCATCCTCCCAGCCGGCCGCACAGGCTGCGCCACGGCCCCAGGAGTCCCCGGGCCTCAGGCTCCACTGCTGAGACCACCCCCCCCTCCTAGGATCTGGTCCCTCGGCTGCGCTGAGCTGCTCGAGGGTGTGTGTGTGTGTGTGTGTGTGTGTGTGTGTGTGTGTGTGTGTGGCGGGTGGGAAGCTGTGGGACAGGGGGTAGCTCTGGGGCTGGGGGCTCTGGCTCTTGCGGAACCCCACCCCGATCTCTGCAGATGGCCCCCCTCAGCCTCTCAAGCACCGACTCGGCCTGGGTCCTTGCCTTCAGGAGCCAAGAGTGGGTATGTTAGTGCCAGAGGGTAGCTAACATAACTCCTCCAGCATCCAGAGCTCAGTACTTGACTGTGGACCGACTGTAACGTGGGCACGGAGAGAGGGACTTGCATGCGTGTGCGCGTTGTGTCCACAGGTATTGTGGACGTGCTATTGACACCGCGGTGTGCGTGTTTGTGCGTCACGGCACGGGAGTGTGCGCCGATGGTGGTGGGCACGGCCGCCTGGGTGAACCGTGTATGTACCTCCACGCTGGCGGGAACGGAGGGGATGCAGGCATGGACTTGGAAGGCGACGTGAGGATCCCCTTGGGGTGGGCACACCGAGCAGCAGGCTGTGGCGGGTGCACCTGTGGGGTGCGTGCGCGTGCCCAGGCTAGGGCCGCAGCGGGGGGTCTGGGCGGCCCTCACCGCCAGCTGGCACAGCTCTTGGGCAGGCTCTGCAGAATGGCCTCTAGGTTCCGCTTGTCGGCACGGATCTCCGCGAGGTCATTCTCGAAGCTCTGGATCTGCAGCTCCTGCTGCTTGGACTCCTGCTCCAACAGCCTCAGTTTCCCCTGCAGGGCCCCCGGCGGGCTCAGCCGCAGCCTCAGGCGCTCCAGTGCCCACTGGGTCTCGTTCAGGGCCTGGGCTGGGGCTTGGTGGGTGTCCAGTGACCCTGCAGAGGGGCACAGACGGCCTCAGCACAGGCCAGCTCCCCTGCAGGCCCCAGAGGCCTGTTC